CAAGGACCTGTGCCCCCGAGCGGGTACGCGTACCTTCTTGGAGGCCATGCAGGCGGGTAAAGTGCACCTGGCCCGCTTTGTGCTGGATGCCCTGGACCGCAGCATCATCGACTGCCGCGCTGAGCAGGGCCGCACGCCGCTCATGGTGGCCGTGGGCTTGCCAGACCCGGCGCTGCGCTCGCGCTTTGTAAGACTACTGCTGGAGCAGGGTGCGGCCGTGAACCTGCGGGACGAGCGCGGCCGCACGGCACTCAGCCTGGCGTGCGAGCGCGGTCACCTGGACGCGGTGCAACTGCTGGTGCAGTTCAGCGGCGACCCCGAGGCGGCCGACTCGGCGGGCAACAGCCCGGTGATGTGGGCGGCGGCGTGCGGCCACGGGGCAGTGCTCGAGTTCCTGGTGCGCTCTTTCCGCCGCCTCGGTCTGCGCCTTGACCGCACCAATCGCGCAGGCCTCACGGCGCTGCAGCTGGCCGCCGCCCGCGGCCACGGGACCTGTGTGCAGGCCCTTACCGGGCCCTGGGGCCGAGCAGCCGCCGCGGCCGCGGCCAGGGGCTCCAACTCCGACAGCCCCCCTGGCCGTCCTGTTCCCGCGCCTAGCCCCGAGCGCCGACGACCCAGTCCCCGCCGCCTACCGCGGCCTCTCCTGGCGCGCTTTGCACGAGCGGCCGGCGGCCACGGCCACGGGGGCGAGGCTGGCTCGGGGGGTAAGGGCTCCGGCCGGCACCGGGCGCAGGGCAGCGAGCGGCCGGAGCTGGGCCGGAGCATGAGCCTGGCGTTGGGTGCCGTGACCGAGGAGGAGGCGGCTCGACTACGGGCGGGAGCCCTGATGGCCCAACCACACTCGCCCCAGTCTTCCGGGGCTGGGCGGTGGCATTCGCAGGAGGTGCTGGAGGGAGCGCCCCCAACCTTAGTGCAAGTCCCCGTCGGCCTTAGCCCTCACCCCGAGGGCGGCCCGGGCTCTGGCCGTTTGGGTTTGCGCCGACGCTCCACAGCTCCAGACATCCCCAGCCTGGTCGGGGAGGCACCTGGGCCCGAGGGCTGCCTGGAATTAGAGCCCAACGCTCTGCCCCATTTGGTGCCTGGGTCTCAGCCTTGGCAGGCTGGCACGGAGGCCGTGGTGCTGCACGCTCAGCGGTAAAGTCTCCAAGCAGAGTCCTGTTCCCCCTACCTTCCCGTCTCTGTTCCACGAGGATTTCTGTTTTTTCTAGGTCCCTCACTTTGCTGGTAGTTTCCCACCCCCGGATCCTAGAACCTGTTCCTACTGCCAAGGTGAGAACTACATCAGCCCTCTAGGGACCCCTATCTTATTTCTTTTTTGTGCTTGTTGGTATTCCCTGCCTAAGTCTCTCACCTTCTCTAAAGGCCTGCCGTTCCTGTGGTGGAAGCAAGGAGTAGATTGGTTCCATAGGCTACGGCCTTCCAGCTGGACCCCCTTACCTCAGCGCTAAGGCTCCGGCTGGCGTTTCCTTCGCCTTGCCCTGTTTTCCCACACCCTTGCCAGCCAGGCAGGCAGAAGAGCTGACCTGTAGAACAAAGGCCTAGTCTCCCTCCCAACATCCCTCTAACCCAGTGATACTGACAATAATACCCCACACGACCTAAGTCTCCCTTCTCATTAAGTGTTAGAGTGTTGGAGAAGGGGAGCCTGGAGACGGGCCTTGGAGCCTTTCTGGACGGAGAGACGGAATCCGGAGGTTAAATTTTTCTAGGGAGAAACTCCTGACTCAAGACACTGAAAGCATGGGGGGGGGGGCAGAAACACTAATTGTTACTTAAACCAGCTTTTGGGTAGTTTCAGATCCCTCTGCCTCAGCCCGAGGCAGACCCAGGATTCAGCTTCATTGACAATGTGGGGGTCTTTGCCTCCAGCCAACTCTTACCCAGCCCAGCTCTGGGCTCTTGAGCCTATTTCCTCACTCTCAGAGGCCTAAAATGGAAAGGACTTAGCACTTTACCCACCCCCGCCGCCTCCCAGCTCCCCCGTCCCGCACGTGGGTGCTCCTGTAGGGTGGAACGGTTGCGAAGGCTTTGCTTAATTGTATTTCTTCCAGTCCTCAAAGAACTCGTGTTTTGAGTCTTTGTATATGAAGCAGAAAGCAGCGGGTCTGATCCGAGGCTTAAGAACCTGACAATGTCTCTTTAAATAGAAGCTCTGCGAGGGGGATAATTGACTGAAGTGTTTGCCACGTTAAACGGCGGCGCGCGGGAGTCTGAAGCCCACACGAGCCTCAGGTCCGGGTTTAAATTACATCAAATTCCGGCGAGAGCTGGAAGGGGGCTGTTAAACGGTTCCTGCCTCTCGCTGGGCCGTTAATGGAGGGCAGGGCGGATGATGGATGCTGGAGGTCGAGACCAAGGACCCCTGCCTCTGCCACAACGCGTGGGATGCAGGCCCCCGGCCAGCTTCATTACTGGGCAGATTAGTGAGTCAGAGGAAACCGTGGAGAGGCAGTTAAAGGCCTTTTCCCGGCCTGGCCCTTCCTCCCTCCCTCCCTCCCTGGCCCCGCCCTCTTTGCGACGGCCTAGTGAGAAGAGTATGGGGGGCTCTGGCGAATCGCGTGCCCTAGGACCCTACGGAAGCGCTAACACAGAGTGGTGGCGCCTGGGGAGCTTTCTGTGAATCCGAAGGTTGAGCGTGCAGCCCCTCACCTGCCTGCACTGGGGTCTTTTCAAGACGTCGATCTATTCGTCTTTGCAGAACGGAAGGTTTTTCACTGGTAACTCAGAGGGAACTTCCCAGGGAGAGAATGACCTGTGATGAGAAATTGGCCTAGGGTGGGGGGTGGGTGATCAGGGGCGGGCCTTGTTTTGTGTAGGTGTCAGACACCTCGGCAATGGTTCCACCCCCCGGGCCGCGAGCCCGTGAGCCCGCGAGGGCCTAGACACTGGACGTGATCTCTGGTGCCCCCTGGTGGCAACGCTGCGCTCTCGCTGTGGCCTGGCTGGGAGTTCAGACTTCTGGTTTTATTTGAATCACCGCTGTGTACTTCTCCCTCCGTGTGCATTTACCCATGGAATACTCTTCCTCTTGTAGTATATTAAATCCGGATACTTGAAGTCATTTCACGGCAGTGAAGTGAGGGACGATGAACAAAAAACTCACATTTGGAGTAGCAGGCGCCCAGATCCTTCACGTAGAACCCCAAGGTCTTCCAAGTTAAGACTCCGTGTAGAGAGTTCCTGCTGTCTTCTGAAAAACTGAGTTTCCAGCCTGACCTCTATGATTTCTGAACCTTGGGACCTGCTGATTATGCACTGTTTTCTTCTGATGAGATTTGCTTTCATTTCTGGGATGTTTTGCCCTTCTCCCACTCCTTTCTCCCCAAATATCTCCTCTCCTCAGTCCCACTGTCTGGGTGGGGGGTGAACCATACTGAAGCACTTGAAAGGCCAGAGGGAGTGGATCTAGGGTGGGATGGGGGATAATTGGACACCCCAAGCACAAACTCCTTTTTTCTGATCTTTGCTTGCTCATTTATCTTTTCCAACTGTGTTTAATTTTCATGAAGTTTTTAATGGTGTAAGAATACAAGTATTTTGGCTGCTTCTGCGCACAAGGTCTGGGTTGCACATTGTGTTGAAGGTGCTGTCATGTTTCAAGTGTCGCTGACCCCAGGGCTTTCTGGTTGAATGTCACCTTGCGCCCTCTTTATTGGGTAAACAACCACAAGAGCTCCTCTCTGTGGAGATGCCAAGGATTTGGTGGTTGAAAGTAATGTCTCTGAAACAAACCACAGCAGATCTTTCCTGTCTGCGCTGAATTGTGGGTTTGACTGCCTTGCTGTTCTTGCAGATTTCTTACCAGGCCCAGCTCTGTGCAGAACTTAAACATTTCACCACATTGCACTCTCCTGAATTTCCCCTGTCAGCCCCAGGACATTAAGGCTGGGGTCCCCTCCAGTTTGCTCCAATTTAGAAGAGACTTTTTGGAACATTTTGCTTTTTCAACTCTTGTTGGCTTTTGTCATTGTGAAGTCACCTGTGCCACCGGAGCTGGTACTCTTGGGTCAAGCTCAGAACTGGTCTGTGTATGAGGCTAAATGGCATACGCACATGCTTTTGGAATGGCGCTGTGTGGTGGAAGAACTGTTAGAACTCAAAAGAATAGTTAATAAATCCAGTGTTATTCAGTTGTGGGAACTGGCCTCTCTTTGCTGTGCCAACCACTCCTGACTCAGGGCTCTGACTGGAGAGGTGGAAGGGCATGCCAGCTTCCTGCAAAGGTTCGGCCATCCCTCCCTCCATGCCCGACGGCCCACTGTGGCTGCCTCCTGGAGGTAAGTCTCAGGTGCTGCTTCCAGCTGAGAACTGGGGCCCTGTCTAGGTGGGAACACTGTGGGGAGCAGGAGAGGGTCTGCAGGACTGCTTGCTCCTGGGTAAGAGGTTTCAGTGAACCCTGGCCTGGAGGGGTAGGATGAGACCTCAGGAAGGAACTATGGGAATCTGTTAGAGCCTGAAGTTTAAAGCCCCAGGTTTCTTGATTCCCAGTTGTGCTCCTTCACAACTCCTTGCTCTCACTCTGTTCTGAGTACCGAAACAGAGACTGCTTTCGCACTAGAAGCAGTTCCAGGCCACTTCCTACGGACAACTCGAGGAGAACAGCCTCTGACTTTCCAGGGAGTGAGAGGCAAACGGGGGAAGGGAGATGCTGCTGCAGAAAGGGGCCATCAGCCCTGTTGGCTGCCCCCCGGGCCCCTGTGGTGCCAGCAAGCACGTCCCGCAGCCCTGGCTTTCCGGGTTGGGCTCTCCTCCCCTGGGAAGGAGCCCTATCTATTTCTCAGTTCTTTCAGTCCCAAGGGCCTTTCACTTCCTGTTTCTCTCCTCCTCTGCCCTCATTTCAGGCCCACATGCCACCAGGGAGTTGGATTTTCTGTGGCTCAGAGTGACCCTTGGGGAGCTCACATCAGGGAGGAGGGAGGGCCACCCTGGACACCCACGATAGCTTCTCCAGTTTGAAGTCAGCCTGGCTCCACTCCCAGAGACAACAGGAAGGCCAGAGGTTTTGAACACTCAGTTTAATTTAAAACAGGCACAAGTGCAAACAATTCACAAAAATTTCTAGGGAAGATGCTTTTGTTTTTAAAACTCTGACCCTTAAAAAAAGTCCTTGCTTTTTTTTTTTTCTGCCCTAAAGCAGGTCACTAGGGAGCAGAGGAATCTAAAAATATTATCTAGATAGGGTCCGGACACCTGGAGTTCTTCCCTGGGATTCCCTGTCCCACAGCAGCCCTGATGGTAGGGAGGGGAGGAGGACAAGGAGACAGGTGTCTGAGGAGGCAGCGAGGGGCAGGTGGTTTGCACAAATGGGTGCCCATTCTCTTAAGGTGATGGAACCCTGGGAGCTGGTTCACCTCCCTCAGACCAGGATTTTGAAAAGAATGGGTCCCTGATGACCTGGTTTTTGAGATGAAGCTCACAGGTAAAACAAAGTTTGTTCCCTCACCATTCTGATCTCTGGCTCTCAGACTCCACAGTGCAGGAGGAACTCGGAAACCTGCCAAGCCCCCAGGATGTGTCAGACTCAATACAGATCTCTTCACTGGTCAGACAGAAACCCAGGACTTAAGATGCGGGAAGCCAGGCCAAGAAAGCAGGTCCCTTCAGAGCAGAACTTAGTGGGAGAGAGGATGGAGAAGCCTTACTGGAGCCAGCCACGATGACCTGAAGGGAGCCAGGCTGTCGGGGCAACCCCTTCCTCTACTTACACACACATCGGCACAAAAACAAGCAACACACCCTGTACAGTGAGACCACCTTTACCACCAACTGCCTTCTTCCTTTTTCACCCAGAAAATGCCCTCCCTGCCACCATGGCCTCCGAGCAGTCTGTCCACAGCTGGGCAGGGGCTGTGCAGGGACAGTGTTGTCAGCTTGGTGGGTCAGGAAACAGGTGCACGTGGGACTGTGCCTTCAGGAAGCCAGACATAAGGGAGGAAGACGATTCAGGCAATCAAGACCTTCCCTGTGGCCCTCTCAGGCCCCAGGGTTTGGAACTGGAGCTGAGGACAGCAAGCGTCCTGGGGAAGATGGGCAGTCTCCTTCCTGGGTGGCCTCGGATGCTCATGTACAACTACCTTTAAAAAACCACAGCAGCCTTTTCTGCTGTATTGGCCACAGTGGCCAAAAACACTAGTCTCCATATTTCTTAGAAATCTCCCTGTACAGATAACAAAGGGTCACCCTGCAGAAGGGGTCTCCATCATCCCAAAGGCAACTAGGGACTCTTCGGAGGGAGAGAGACCAAGGGGCAGGTCCGGCCTGGCCCAGTGGGCGGAGGGGCAGGAGGGTGGGGGTGGGGCTTCACATTCAATCTTTGGAGAGAATACTGAGAGAATGAGGCAGGCAGGCAGGCCCTGTTGCAAGCTGGCGGCCCAGTGTCCCCTGCCTGTGGGCACAGGTAGCAGGTGCACTCTAGGGTCGGGCTCAGCAGGTGGAGGTCTGCTTGCGGTAGAGCTGGATCAGAGGCACCAGACATTCAGGCAGCCCTGTCTGCAGCAGGAACGGGTGGTCCAGGAGCTCCTGGGCCGTGGCTCTCTCCTGGGGGTCCCGCACCAGCATCCGTTCCAGGAAGTCTCGTAGCACTGGGGAGACCTGTGGACGCAGGTCAGTGAGAGAAAGCCACAATTTGCAGCCACTTTGGGGTGACCAATCTGCCTAGCCCCACTCTCATCTGAAAGTCTTGAATTCTCATTTCTTATTTCCTGGTTCCTCCCAGGCTGAGTACTTTTTGGATTATCAGGTGGGTAAGGAAGGTCAACATCAGTCCAGGAAAAGCAGCCAGTTCACCTTCAGGGGGTGCTGCTGAGCAATGGAATTAGGCTACCTGGACCTAGGGAGCTGGGTTCCAAATACAGCCCATCCCCTGCCTTGCTTCTCAGGGCTCCGCGTTCAGGCTCTGTGGAAAGGGGCATGGGATTCGTACCAGAGATCCAGTCCTGGGTCTATCCCTGATCTCCGGCAAGTTGCACTCTTCTGCAGACCTCACTTTTTTCATCTGTAAAGTGGGCTAATGATAAATGTACTTGCCCTATCTGCCACATAAGGCTTTAGTGAAGATAAAAAAAAGAAATCAGGGATGAAGAAGTGTTTTGAAAAATCGAAAAGAACAAAAGTGGGACCTGAAAAAGAAGATTTCTTTATTGCTGTAAGCCTTAGAGTCTAAGTCAAGGGCTTATCTTGGTTCATTCCGAGCCAGTATCTTGGGATAAGGCTGTTACAGGAGGCTACGTCTTCTGGGGAATTCACCAATTAAAAATCTTCCCTAACTGCTAGTCTTGGGGTCAGGAGTGCGGGCTCCAAGAACCAGTTGTCTTGGAAAGTGCTTCCTGTCTGTCCTCCCCATCCAGCTGGGCTACAGAACTATTTTGCTATTTAGGAACTGGGCTTCAACTCTCTGGGACATTTTTCTCTCTGGCCACCAGATGGCAGTGCCATTTTGCAGCCCTCTGCTGATCTGTCACCAGCAAGGGGTGCCCACAGGTAAGGAATGTGGGTTTGGGTGGATTTGGCAAGAAAGGGTCACACACACACACACACACACACGTTTGTTTCAAGGGAAAAACTGGTCAGGATGTACGTTGATGGAGGGCATCCCAATCCTCTGTGATGGACTGGGTACACTGTGCCATGGTATGACTCCCCTGACAGATGGGGTCGAGGTGGGTTCCTGCATAATTAGCTTCTCTAGATTCCTCTCCAGGACATCAAGGATTCCGGGCAGGCTTGCTTTCCCTTCTCTCAGGCTCCTGTCAGTAGCCTGCAGGTGGAAACTTGTTGGAGTGACCATGGGAGTTTGTGACTAGGCTCCATACCCAGATGTGGGTTTTATGTGGAGAAAAAGGAGCCTTTTCCAGGAGCCCAGGCTCTCTGGCATCTGTGGAAGGGAGAAGCTGGGCCTGAAAGCTCAGTGTCTGATCCTTGAAACCTTAGGAAGAAGGGCCTGCAGGGTCGTACCTTGTTTACCAACTGACCTTGTGAGAATTCTTCAGCCTGGGCGGGGGGCTGTCCCGGAGCCTCTTCATGGCTTGCACTGGGGAGTCACTGAAGTAGGGTGGCTCTCCATCCACCATCTCAATCACCATGATGCCCAGAGACCAGATATCCACCTGCAGAAGGAGAATGTCCCTGACTCCCCTGACCAGAGTCTGGCCCCTTGGTAGAACAGGCTGCAAGGGGAGGGGAGCAGCTGGCCCCAGGTCTCCTCAGTGAGTTGGCCTCCTTCTTGGCCACCTTCCCTGTGGTCAATTACTTCCTGTATGAGTGACCTCTGACTGCAGGGACACAGCTGTCAGCCACTCTCTTAGAAAGGCCATCACACATAGGGAAGCCTGGCCATACCCCAGCCTGCCCGATACATGGGCAAGAGCATTGTGGGGACCAGTTTGTGGCAGCAAAGTCACAGGCCAGAGAAGACCCACCAAAGACGGGGTAGTAGACAGAGGGGTAGGGTACTGACTAAGTGGGAACCTGAGAACCAGGGCTATTTTGGGTGGGGGGCTCGGCAGGGGGCCACTAGTAGAAGAGCTGTGTGTTCCTAAGCCTCTTCTGGGAGGATTAGGGGATGGAGGGAGCTGTTACCTCGGTCGCATACAGAGACCTGGAGATCACTTCAGGAGCCATCCAGTAGGGGGTTCCCACCAGGGACTTCCTCTTAGGGACATCTTTGCTGATTTGCGCACAGAATCCAAAGTCTGAGAGTTTCACCTGGGATTGGGGTGAGAGGGAGAGAAGGGAGTGAAAAGTCAACTAGGAGGAAAAGCCATGCTGGGAGCAGAAGTGGGGGGGGTGTGTGGGTGCACCCTACCCTGCCATCGAGGGTCAGCAGGATGGAGTCGCTCTTGATGTCCCGGTGGATGACCCCCTGGGTGTGCAGGTAAGCCAGGGCCTGCAGCACGGCCTCACACACAGTGGCGATCTGCTCCTCATTCAGCCTGGACAGGGAAGGCAGGGCCACCAGTGTTAGAGAATGTGAGCTTTGGCAGGGCTGCAGGACAGATGGGCTGGGCAGAGTAGGTGCCCCTGGTCCTGGGCCCCACAGCTCCTGGGCAATGCATGAAAGAACCCAGTCAGACCAGAGCCCTGGGGGAAATGAGTCTGGGCCTAGGCTGGAGACCTAGTGTCTTCCCCAGGCCCCTGAGACCCCTGAGTCTGTTAACCCAAACAGCTGGGGGCGGCTCAGGACAATGAGACAGGCACCCCAATCATCTGGGCCTGAGGCTGCCTAATACCCCTGCCAGGGCATTCGTGAGGCCCAGCCCTCCCAGCTGCCCACCTGACTTGAGAGATGATGTCCGTGAGGGCCCCACCCTGCAGGAACTCCATAAGCACCCACAGCTCCTCGCCCACCAGGTAGCTCTTGTACATCTCCACCACATTGAGGTGCTGGTAGTCCCGCATGATCACCACCTGGGGGACAGGAGGGGATGCCTAAGTGCCGGGCACACTCCCCCTGCCCCCGCTCGGAGACATCCAGCCTGGACCCGCGCACACTGCCAGTCCCAAATGCCCCGTCACGCCCTCTCCTCCCACCTCGTTAAAGAGCAGCTCCCTGCGCTGCTGCTTCCTGAGGTCCATCATCTTGACGGCCACCTGGCGGCCGGAGTGCTTTTCCCGGGCCAGGCAGACAATGCCGGTGGAGCCTTCGCCAATCTTCACGTAACTGTCCAGCAGTAGCCGGGGGTCACCCTGGTCCACCACCATCCTGAGCGCAGCCTTGAACTGCTCATGAGTCACAACACCCGTGTCCTCACTAGCCAGGGCACCCTTGGCCACCGCAGGGTCCTGGGGCAGGTACAGGTTGCTGGTGCTGATCTGGGCATGCCGTGTACGGGGGGAGCCCGCTGGGGAAGACCGGCCTGGAGGAGGGCCGGCAGCTGGGGCTGTGCGGAAGGACTTCTGGGGGCTGCTGGTATCCGAGGTGGTCAGAGGGTTGAAGGTGCCCACATGCTGGTCTGAGGGCAAGGACTGGGCCTTCGCCACCAGGTTTGGGGGGCAGTCTTTCTGTGGTGGTCTGAAAGAGGAATTGGGCTGCAGAGAAGAAGAAAGAAACAGGTTTGGCTGTGGGAGTGTTTGGAGCAACCTTCCCAGAGGCAGGAGGTGGCTGCCGTGACCTCTGGACACGGGCAGGGTAAGACAGGGCGTCAGACAAATGGAGGAGGTGCCGCAAGCAAAGATTTTCAAATGAAACAAAAGACAAACCATAGTCCTGCTTAAGAAACCAACCCCCAGTGTTCCCAGGTGAGCAGATAAAACAGCTCTTTACATCCACTCTGCCCATCCTGGGAAGACAAAGCTGAGTCCCTGGAGTATCTGGTGCTGGGTATTTCTTCCTCGGGTGACTGACAGCCAGACCCCAGGGAGGCCACCGGGAAGCAATCTTCCCTCTGTGCTGTAGGCTGCACAGGGAATCTGGGTCAGTTTCCAACCATGGCTCCCCCACCCAAGGGCCCACGTGAGCGGAAGAGGCCCTGGGCATTGGAGTGGTGGGTGCAGCGGGGCAGCTGTGACTGACTCCCACGACAGGGCAGGGAAGCCATAGCTGGGGTCTGATAGCCTTGCTTGTACCTGACAATGGGGGGTCTGCATGTCTGTGCTGTGAGATTATGTCCCCAACAGAGGACCACAGAGCCATGTTACCATCTGGGGGCTCCTCTGGTGTCCCCTGGGCTGGGGACCTGGTGCTAGAGAGATCTGGAATCAGGAGGGTAAGTCCAGCAGTGAGGTGGTTTCCTCAGGGCTCCCCAGAGCAGCCATTCCACTTGCTCCTAGACATGAAATTCCTGGCTGACGACCCCCAACAAGGAAGGGAAGGCAGGCGGCCTATCCTTTTGGTCTCTGGCAGGCAGGGAAGGAGGGATGGGGAACTGAGTAGCAGACTGGGCCCCATTGAGCCCCGCTCAGACCAGGCCTGGAAGCTCCTTGCCTTTCAGGGTCCAGCCCTCTTGCCAGCCCCAGCAGGAAAGGTCCCATCCTTGGATTCTTCCCAAGGAGCTGACGAGGTGCAACATGACTCCTCCCAGGGATTGTGTGTTTTTAAAAGGGGATACCTGGAGAGGGTCATACATGACCTACTGGGGAACTTCAGGGGCTGCAGAGAGGCCTTTCTAGAACATCTCAGAGCCTATCTCACAGGCGGTTGTCCAGGTGCCCAGAGGGTCCCAGTCCTCATCCTCAAAGCTGAATCAGCTTCCAGGAAATCTACTCAACACATAGCACGTGCATGGTGCATCTGCCAGCAGAGAGTCATGCCATGGCAGGCTCTGCCACCCCCAGCCCCGCCCGCCCACTCTGAGTGTGCGCCAGCCTCTGGCAGGCAGTTCCTGGCTCAGCTCAGCCTTCATGGTGAAGGAGCCAGGAGAGCCTCCCGGGACTAATGCAGCTACTCCATCCCCACCTGGCGAGCACATCTGTGCAACAAATAGATTCTCCCATGTCTCTGCCAGCACCTGACCCTCACCCAACTTTTCCTACTCTGTTGTGGTGGAGCAGTGGGACTTCAGACTGAGGATCAGGACCTGGGTTCCAGTCCTGCTTTGCTCAGACTTGTGATGAATCTTAGGCCAGCCACCCTCTCTGAGCCCCAGTCTCCTCTATGAATGCACAATGATCCAGGGAGCTGGGTAAAATGTAGGTTCCTGGGCCTCGGAGATGGCTTCAGTAAGTCCCTTGAGCAGGGACTCTGCATTTTAACAAGGCACTTGGGTTTGATGTGGGAGGAACAGTGGACCACGATTTGAGCAGCTCTGTGATTCCATGGCCTCGGGGAGTCCGTGGGAAGGCTAGGACTGGATGTGGAGGAAGCATGGCCACCACAGAGGCTGTGAGGCCACATTCAAGAGCAGAAGTTCCATGAGATGCCACCTAGAAGCAGTCCCCAAGGCTCTGTTAAAATCTGCCTGCTGGCCTGCGAGGCATGGACTTAAAACAGAAAAGGTGTTCTCCGGGCATCTGTGTGGGGCTGGGCGGAGCTTGGGGACCTGAAAAGCCCCTAAAGCTGCTGACGAGGTGCTCTAAAGGCCCTTGACCTCTCTCCACCCTGGATTTCTAAGGAAGGCTCTAAAAGAATTTCCCTCACCTTCTGGCCTCCCGGCCTCCTGGACATGAAGAGGGTGGGGACAAGCCACACGGAGAGGCTGAGGAGGGGGATTCACTCCCACCTCTGCTGTCAAGGCTCCTGTGCAGACTCTGCTGCAGGTGCTGGCCGAGTTCAGGGGCACGGGTGCAGTGGGGGGATGGAAGCAGCAGACAGACCCAGTCAAGAGACCAGCATCTTCGTGGCTGGGGCACAGGGCTCGAGGGTAGTGGGACCAGGCTCCATCTTCACCTCAGCGGGGTCTTGTCCCAGGATTCCCTTAGCTGGCCTTGCCCGTCTCCACAGGAGGGAGATTTCACTTAACGTAACCACATGAAAGGACCAGATGAAAGTCGTTAAACTGCTCCAAGAAAGGGAAAGGAGGACAAAAGATGGAATTAATTGTTCGGGGCTCTGGATTAATTCTGCAGTTACTTGTGTGACTGAGGCAGGAAGCCACCGGAAAGAAGAGTTGGACGTGGTGTTACAATGATGCCTCACTTTCCCTTCCCAAGCCACGGTGATAGGGCTGGGCTCTCCAGCTGTGGGCTTGGGAGCCTGTGCCATAAGTGCCACACAGGCAGAAGCCATGTCATAATATTTAAGAAATAATAAAGTCATTTATTGAGGGTTTACCACTTTGACGAAGGCCTTAAATGGATTATCTCATTTAATTCTCATAACCCTGTGGGTTGTTTTATTATCCCATGGGTACTATTATTACTACATTTATAGGTGAAGAAACAGGCTCAGAGAGGTTAAGTAACTTGCCCTGAATCACTAAGTAAGGGACAAGGCCAGACTTCAGCCCTGGTCAGCCTAACCTCTGACCCCTATGCTGTGGTCCTACTGGGGATCCTTGGCATATAACAAAGTACATGCACACAGTAGGGCTAAACCAAGGTTTGCTGATTGTTGAGGTCTTTCTGACTTGGCCTTTCTGCTGCTAAGTGGAACCACTTCTAAATCCCCCAAGCTCCTGTCTTACCTCTTTGGCCTCCCTGCCACCACCTGAGGTCTTCTTTTGCTTTTTAACCAAAGTGAGTGACTGTAGGCTAAGCTGCCTAGGGCTGAGGACAACAGCTCCGGGGCCACAGATCTTCCTGCAGCCACGCCTGGCACACTGTGGCCATCGGTGACCTGACCTCCCAGGGTACCAGTGCACGGACCACTGCTTTAGGAGTTGCTGTGAGTGTCCAGAGCCAAACTCTGGGATGTGCTGAGTGCAGAGGGCTGGCTTAGTTTAGGGGTTCCCAGGGCCCTGTGGGAGGAGGAGGAAACTGAATGCCTCCCAACTGTGTTGTAATTTGCTGAGAGCACTGGTTCTCAATTGGGGTGATTTTTTTCCCCAGGGGACATTTGGCAATGTCTGAAGGGATTTGAGATTGACCCATCTGAGGCGTGCTACTAGCATCTAGGGGGTAGAGGCCAGAGACGCTTGTAAATTTCCTACAATGCATAGGCGAGCCCCCACAATAAAGGATTATCTCATCCAAATATCAGGAGTACAGCGTTGAGAAGCCCTGGCCCAGAGTAGCTCAGGGGAAGTCTTGGCCCTGCCTTTTAGAGGCCTGGCTTAAGAATATCTAGAAAGGTATGCCCAGTGGGCCAAGAAGGAAAGCACTTCTGTGGATTTGAAACTATGGTATCTCTGAGTTCTGGACAAGCACCTGCCTCCACCACCTGCCTCCACGGGTGCAGGGGAGACCCCACACACCTGGGGGCAGCAGCCCGCGGTAGGTGCTTGGTGAAGTGTGCAGGGATGGACCGGCTGACAGAGGCTAGGGGGACAACCTGCCCCCCTGCTGTGGGGTGCCGGCAGGAGCCCAGGACCATGCATGTCAGTGTCCAGCCCAGTGTTGAAACCCACTTTCTCCAAATTCCTGAAACCACCCCCAACCCCAGTAGGACTCCCAAAGTGTACATGCTGGCAGTGTGTACTGTCCTGCTCCCACTTTAGTTTCCTGTGGACTGTCTCCCCAAGGGCACAGTCTCCCAGAGACCCCCTCAGTTCACAGGCACTTGTGTCTCTCTCGTGGGCATATGTCCCCATTTCATATGTTCCTCCCCCAACCCCCTACCCTACTCAGCCCACCATCCTTTGTCCCCGTGTGGGGCTGCAGGTCACAAAGCCCAAAACCTTCCCTAGGTGCCTCAGGCTGGCAATGACTTAGAAGGCTGAGAGTCTGCAGGCCCTCCCCCCACCCCACCACTGCACAGGCTGGACCCATTGGTGCTATCCCCGGACGGGAGGCTCCATTATTCACCCCGCTGTCAGAGCTTGTTTCTTAAGGCTAACTTACAACCCTCGTGCTGCAGCCTAAACTCACTTCTGCCTGTCTCCTCAGGAAGAAGCTACAAGATGCCATGGTCGGAAAGCCTTCAAGAGCAAGAGGCGGGAGCCCAGAGGGCCCCTCCTTTCCCTCCTCGCCTGACTCATTCGCGACCCCTGGGGGTTGTCCTGCACTCTCTGAGTCAGTCTTCTCATCTGCCAAATGGGAAAGGATGTCACTGTCACCACGGACAGGATGTCACAGGGCATGTAAGCAAAAATGTTCTCCTCTGCCTGCCAAGAAATGTCACTGTTAGGGCTCCCTTCGCTGTTTCCTTTTTCACAAGAAACATATGTGCATTTGAGGCTGTCTCTCTCTCTCTCTCTCTCTCCCC